TAAAACTCGTAGATGCTAGCTCATGAAATTGAGAAATTTGGCCTCCGAGATAATATTTGCCTACGCGTCAAAACCACTAAAATGGCCAAAAATCATGGGTTATAGCTCATGAAGTCGAGATTTTGACTTTTGGAAAATATTTACCAATGGGCCAAAACAATGACCAAAGTTGTGGGTTATATCTCATAAAATTATGTATTTTGGCGATTGAGAAATTTTTTACCAACACGTTGAAACCACTAAAAAAGCCAAAAATTATGGATTTTATCTTATAAGATTGTGAAGTTGAGCTTACAGGAAATTACTAGCAAATGGGTTGACACCATTAAAATATCCAAAAATCGTGAGTTATAGCTGATGAAGTCATCAATTTTAGCTTTTGGAAAATATTTGCTGACGAGTCAAAACAACTAAAAAATATCAAAAATCATGGGTTATATCACTCTACACTTACATGTTATCACGCTACACTTATAGGTTATCACGCTATATTTTTAAGTTATCACGCTACACTTTCACTTTATCACATTATACTTACGTGTTATCACGCTATACTTACATGTTATCACACTACACTTTCAGTTTATCATGCTACACTTACAGGTTATCATGCTACACTTACAGGTTATCACGCTATACTTTCAATTTATCATGCTATACTTTCAGGTTTTCGCGCTACACTTTCAGGTTATCACACTACACTTTCAATTTACCATGCTACACTTACATGTTATCACGCTATACTTTTAGTTTATCGCGCTATATTTACAGGTTATCATGCTACACTTACAGGTTATCACGCTACACTTACAGGTTATCACATTATACTTTTAGTTTATTACGCTACACATACAATTTATTATGCTATACTTTCAGGTTATCACGCTATACTTTCATAGTCTTACAAACTCCAAAATTGCACAAAATTGCACAAGAACAAAATTTCCGTCGCTACGTTTAGTATCCTAGACGGAAATTTTTCCGTCTAGGATAATCCGTCTACAATAATCCAATTTTTACTAATTAATTCCACAAGAACAAAATTGCACTAATAAAACTTTCAGATTATCTACTTTCATAGTCTAACAAACTGAGAACAATATGTTACAAATCAAACTCCAAACATATATTTATACACACAAAAGTGCGAACAATCCGAGAAATTTGCATTTAACAGTTGGCTTGGCTGCACTCATAGAACTGCATAAGAACAAAAGCTGAGATTGATGGCATCTAGCATCCGGTGAACTTAGCTTGAGGTGAATGTTTATATCCTGAAATCAAAAGATATGCGGATCAAAAGAATAGTAGACAGAATGTAAAAGTCACCAACATTTCATATCTCTAAGAAACCGCATACATTGAACATTACACTTATAGAAAATATACCTTTAGATAGAAATAGAGCTAAGATACGAGCTTTATGTCTTGCACAATCCTTTTGGTCTATTGAAATCGGTTGACCGGAAACGAGGCTGAACATGTATGATATCAAGAACACCCCGTAATTTAGGCTACTGCAAGTATAAATATAAAAATTTTGACCCGTAATATATAATTTCTATGTGTCAGCACATACAGAAAAACAACAACATACGAATAAGTTAAATACACTAACTCACGTTGTTAAGGTACATCAACACTTTCTATCTCATGACAAGATCTAATATCCAAATTCGAATCATCGGGAATGGAGGACATAAGCTTCACTCTAAAATCAATAGCATAGGACATGTATCCGCGGAGAGAAGAGTAATAATAAAATCTTTATCCTTTACAGATAATACCAACATATGCCAATGAAATGAAGTTAGAAGTGGGAAAATAATCTTATCAAGTTCAAGGAAACGTGTAGTCGTTATTGGCTTAAACATGCGTTCGACACTGGACATATTATTTTTGTTGATGCATCTTTATAAAAAAATAAAGAAAGGATAATTTTTAGTATTTAAGATAATATATGAATAATACTTATAATATCCAATCATGAAGTATCTTAACAATCCTATTACGAATCATTTTAAATACAAAGTTTTGCGTTCCCTAAGAACATGGATGATTTCTCGCACAAATTTGTATAAAGTGAGGTTAATGAAAGAGAGAGAACGAGACCGTCACCATATAGATTTCTGACCATCACCATCTTTGATCTAACTTAGTATAGGGGCTATATAGGTTTTGATTCTTTTTTCATGCAAGGAACAGGAAATTTAGTTATTATTTACTGTAAAGATAAGGGTAAACAAGGAAAAAAATGTTGTCAACAGAATCCATAAGCCAATGGAAGTTCTTAATCCTCAGTATAGTTTGTGTTGTAAGTATTGTTCTCTCTTGTTTTCCTTTTTTTTATGTGACAAGAAACAAAATTTTTTTATGTGATAAGGGTATACAGATTAAAAAATCATGCAACAAATACAACTGTCAAATAAGTTAGCAGTGCCTAAAAGTGATATACATGTAAGCCAATGAAACAAATCTGAAACTAGTGAATGGTGTGATTCTTGATTTTGAGAATCCAGTGCCTAAAAGTGATATACATGTAAGCCAATGAAAAAAACTGTTAAATAAGTTTGGGCTATTTCGTTGCATTATTTCTCGAGCGAAAAGTGGTGTAAAGTGGTAAGAACATGGGGTCCATATTCAGCATTTAACATCTAGTTTTCTTTTAAACTTCGATCTATCAATTGTCGAAATAGAACTTTAGACCGTCAGTTATAACAATTGGAGAGATTTTGGGCTATTAAAGTAGAAATATAATTCCTTAAAAAATGGAAATATTAAAAAGATTCATGAAATTGTTTTCACCGACTACTTCTTCTCTCCACAAAATCTAACACACATGATCAAACTTTTTTAAATGTTTAGTCACGTTCATCCTATCCATAAATAAACACAAGATAGAAGAGGAACAAGGAAACAAAATGAAGAACTCAAGCCCTAGGGAGCTCACCAGCACAGGTGGAGCCGAAGGCAAGGACGGAGGCGTCGACAAGAGCGACAGAGAGGTCGGAGTGGAGGATGAGGTGGCGGGCGATGGAAAGACCAATGATCCCGGTGCTGACGATGACGACGTTGTGCTCCGACTTGTGTAGAGCGGCCAGAATGGAGATTTCACCTCGGTCAGGGCTCAGTGATGAGATGGCGACGACGACAAACACGAGATGAGAATGGGGAAGAAGCGCCGAAGAAGGGGGGAATCATGCTCCAACTTGTGTATAGCGGCCACAATGGGGATTTCACCTCGGTCAGGAATTAGTGACGAGACGGCGACAGCGACGGACACGAGACGATGACGGACACAAGACGAACATGAGCTGAGAACAGGGAAGAAGCGCCGAAGAAGGGGGAAATTGGGTTTTTCAGTTAGGGCTTAGAGATGAAAAGGGGGAAGAAGAGGAGAGAGAGAGAAAAGCACTGGTTTAAGTGGGATATTGAAAGGGGTATTTTGAGGTTTTTATCATGTTTGTGTATAAATACAAGTGCTCTACCTACTGTATTTTAGAAATTGGGTTTAAAGGCAAACAAAAAAGAAAAAAAGGAAAAAAAAGAAAAAGATAAAGATAATTGGGTTTAAGAATACAAGCAATAGTGATTGGGTTTTGAGGTAAAGTTGAGTAAACAATTGGGATTAGAAATAAAAACCCCTTGATTTTATCTTCGATGCTCTCTGCATCGAATTTGGATAAATAATGAACAACTTCTTCTCCTAGTGACTAGGGCAGAAGGACATGGATCGATATCCGCAGATACATCTATATCCGTATCGGATGAGAATAGATATAAGTTCTAAAGATTCATATGCATTGAATAGAAAGAAATATTATTACAATTTTTGATAATTAGATTTGAAATTAACTAGTAACTCAATATTAAAAAGAAGATAATAATGAATCACGTCAATGACAACTTGGCAAGTTCAGACAAAAGATCAATTACCCCAGCCGTGTAGAGCCCGTGCCTTCTGGGTCACTAGCAAATGACATTGCACATTGCACACGGGATGTTGTATCACAAAACAAGCGCGGCTCATGACAAATCATGTTAATTTATTTTGAAGGGGGCCTGGATTATGTATAGTTTCGATTGTAAATAAAGTCTACACTTTAGCTATGTTGACTAACACTATTAGTTTATCTCAGTGGTTTCACAATTAAATGCTTTTTATTATATAATTTAAACAATTAATATCATGCATAGAGTCTACTGAATGAGAAGATTTGATTGATGAATTATAGAGTTTCTCTACAACTAATGATATAGGGGGTCTCTAACCAATTTAAAGGGAATGTTCCATTCAATTTCCATGTCTTGCAGGTCGCAACCAACTCTCTCTTTGTTAAAATAAGGCTCCTCTGTAGAGTGGAAGGGTCCTGAAGGCATGCTTTGACGAGTATAGAATAACTTGATATTCTATGAGAAGTCTCTCTTTGTTGAAATACCCTCTGAACAAAAAGAATGTAACCAGAGTATAGAATTTTTTTTTTCACGGATCATGAAAATTATTTATATGATTCAGCTATTTAACTTTATAATTTGTAAGCATATGTGAACCATGATTTGAGTTTTATCAGTTTATATGGTATCCGATACGTTTTTTGATCCTTTTCCCTCTCATTTGATTCTTACCCTAACACATCTAATTAACATTAGTATTCAACTATTCGTTGTTAGTAAATGAATACAATTATGGTAAAAGTCACATCGGTCCCTGTAGCGAGAATAACATGTTTTTTGGGGCATGAACAGTTATAACGTAAATATAAATTGGTATGATCCCAGCTCTCATCTCATCGTAGCTCTAGAGTCATGATATAATGGTTAGTATGAAATTAAAAAAAAAAAAAACCCACCCAAATATCTGTTGCCGTCAGGGTTGGTTAGGAAAGAAGGGCAGCAGCCCAACATTTGTAACGGCTCTTTTTCAAGGCCCAGCCCGATAGTCCTCTCTATCTAATACCAAAAAAATTCGTAAAATAAATTTTCACCCTAAAAAGTAAAAACATCCGATGGAATCCTCACCCAAGCGCCGGAAAACCAAGGGCAAAGAAACGATGGAGGAAGACGAAGATCCTCTCTCTTCACCGTCCATATCCGATCTGACGGCGGAGATCACCTGCGGGGTTTGCCTCTCCGATGTCGGTCGCTCGATCCGCGGGCAGATCGACAGCTGCGATCACGGATTCTGCTTCGTGTGCATCATGGAGTGGGCCCGGGTCGAGACCGCGCTGGCCGCGCTGTGGCAAGCAGCGGTTTCAAATCAATACGGCGGCGGTGCCGGGAATCTTTTCGCGGGAGCGCGTCGTTGACGTCCCGGAGCGGAATCAGGTCGAGGGTTTTTATTGTCCTTTTCTTGATTTTCTAGGGTTTGCTTTCGAAGTGTTTGTATTCATCTGTGCCAACTCCCTAATTTATTCTCGGCCGCAACTCATATTATTAACTGACAGGATTAGGGGCATTTTGCAGTTCGATGAATTGTGGTTGTCTGATTTTGATTTTCTTGGTACGACAAATTCCTAATTCCGTTCGTCGAAGTTACGATTGAATGACTGGGGTTTGTGATGCTGTGTGATAGATCGATCGTTAGAGGGCGTTGTTTCAGTTCGCATTGTTAGGGGTACGACAATTTGATGTTAAAGTTAGATATTTAGTTTGGGGATATCTCCTAGCTTAGTGTTGGGGTATAAAGAGAGGGATGCCCGATAATTTGAGTTGTATCCATCCGAACACTTCAAAAGATCAGGATGAATACTCAGAAGGAGGAGTTAACAACCAAAATGTGATATCTTTGTTAAAACCGAGGTTGCCTCCATTTGGTTCCGAATCGTATCCATCCCCAAGACTGGTTTAGTTTATGTTGTACTAGGCTATGTGATTATCAACGAAGAGGTTTGGTCTTTCAGTTAGTCATAGGAATTGTGCGCTTTTCTCGTGTCTTAGTATCCTACCTTAAAGCTATATTTTTTTTGTAGAATCTGGCTCGCCATTTTGGTCGTTCTAACTTAAAAGCTTATTTAGGGTGCATTGTTGTTGGGACAAACCCGGAGCCCAATAGAACAGGGTCGCAACAATAGTAGAGCAAAAGTAGAGATAAAAATTAGACACACAGATTTACGTAGTTTGGCACTTGATTGCCTACGTCCACGAGCAAGGATAGAAGAATCCACTATGAGAAGAAAAACTCTGGAGTTACAAACTCTCTCTCTTTACAAGGAGAAACTCTCTCTATTTTTTCTCTCTCTTTTCTATATAAGAAGTTGTTTCTGGGATGAGATTTCCTTAAGGATTTGGAGCCTATTTATAGGATTTTAAAAAACACTATGCATAATAAAATAATAATAAATTACTATGCATTTATATTATAATAATAATGTGGGGCCTGCATAATAAAATAATAATAAATTACTATGCATTTATATTATAATAATAATGTGGGGCCCGCTCCTTTATTCAAAGTCAAAAAACAGCTGCTGCTTTTGGCTGATTGATTGGTGGCTTTTGTTATTGTTAGGCGCCTGACAATCTCCCACTTAAAGATTTGATTGAGTATCAATCATATCTTCACACCATTTTTTCTATCTTGCCATCTTCATGTTGCTTACGTCTCTGACAGACCACAGGAGGATCTACACCAAATGAATTTATCAGTATTGATTGCTTTTGTCAAAAAATCTGCTAGGTTATCTTTGGTGTGAATTTTCTGCATATCCACTGTTCCTTCTTCCACTTTCTCACGAACGAAGTGATACTGAACTCGAATGTGCTTGGTCTTTGAATGAAAGGCTGGATTTCTTGCCAAATGCAAAGCATTCTGACTGTCACAAAATAGAAAAATCTTCTTTTGTTCATGGCCGAGTTCCTCCAGCACCATCTTCAACCACATCGCCTCTTTACTAGCTTGTGTAGCTGCTACATATTCTGCTTCTGTTGTTGAAGTAGCCACAACTGACTGTAGTTTTGAAACTCAGCTTACAGCTCCGTCAGCAAGTGCAAACACATAACCTGTGGTGGATTTACTATTATCACGATCACCTGCATAATTAACATATCCATTGATAATAAAATCATATCCCTCATAACATAATGCAACATTTGAGGTTCCCTTAATGTATCTTAGGACCCTCTTTACAGCATTCCAATGCTCTTTATCAGGATTCGTCATGTATCAACTAACCACTCCCACTGCTTGTATAATGTCTGGTCTTGTACAAATCATCGTGAACATTAAGCTTCCCACTGCTGATGCATATGGTACTCGAGACATCTCCATCCTCTCTTCTTTACTGCTAGGACTCATACTGGAGGATAACTTGAAATTAACAGGAAGTGAGGTAGAAATTGACTTACAATCTTACATGTTAAAACGTCGCAAGATTTTGTTCAAGTAATTCTTCTGAGAAAGCTAAATCTTCCTATTAACTCTGTCGCAAGATTTGACTTTCTCAGAAGAATTACTTGAACAAATTAACATGCAGGATTGTAAGTCAATTTTACCCCACTTCCTATTAATTCTGTCTCGGTAATATAACTCTGATACCACTTGTTGGGACAAACCCGGGGCCCAATAGAGCAGGGTCGCAGCAATAGTAGAGAAAAAATAGAGATAAAAAGTTAGACACAGATTTACGTGGTTCGGCACTTGATTGCCTACGTCCACGAGCAAGGATAGAAGAAATTTCTCCTTGTAAAGAGAGAGTTTGTAACTCCAGAGTTTTTCTCCTCATAGTGGATTCTTCTATCCTTGCTCGTGGACGTAGACAATCAAGTGCCAAACCACGTAAATTTGTGTGTCCAATTTTTTATCTCTATTTTTTCTCTATTATTGCTGTGATCCTGCTCTATTGGGCCCCGGATTTATCCCAACCAGTGTTATCGAGGCGCAATGCGCAATGCGGGGCGCAAAGGTCCCTTATGCGCACCATGCGCAAGGCGCACAACAAGGCGCGCGCCTCACTAACTAAGGCGCATAACTCAAATTAATATTTACCAACATCATAAGACAGAAACATATAAGCAACATATTAGTTACCTACATCCAAAATTATGAGAATATCAACTTAAATCATCAATTATGCTAACTGAATTTTTAAAGTAACAAAAAAGATACAAGAAACATGTATTTAAATCATCAAATTAAGTGATTAACAATTATGAGCATATGTTTATAAATTGTCACATAAAAGACTAAGAAATATAATTAACAAACATGACTGTTTATAATTTTTTAGTTAGTATTCTTAATTGATATTTGCTACTTCGCTTGAAAAGATGAAGAATGAATGTAATAATTACATATTTACATGTTCATAATTTGCTATTAGCATGCTAATTAGTGAAGGAAGTTACAATTAGCAAACAAGTATACTAAATTACTAATTATTGTTTTCTTTTTATAGGTTAAACATGAAAAGATGAAAATAGATTAGCAACTAGTAAGAAAGAGTATATTACATGATATAAATATGTAATTATGTAAATTATTTAAAAAAATAGAAGAAAGAGTATGTTACATAACACAGGTGCGAGGCGCACGTGAGGCGCACGCGAGGCGCGAGCGAGGCGCATGCGAGGCGCACGCGAGGCGCGCGCCTCGCTGCGTGCAGCGCCCCGCCTCGCGTGCAGGGCGCATTTCGCCCAGGCCGAAGCGCCTCGCGCCCGGGGCGCGCCCGGGGCGCGCGCCTCAATAACACTGATCCCAACAAGTGATATCAGAGCCAACTTAGGGTACTTGTATATATCTATTTATCGTATGTTCTGTGGCTGCCACCAAAGATGGATCCTCCACATCAGAAAATAAGTTAGGTTATCATTTACCCTTTGAAGGTGACGGGTACTATTCACGAGCACGATACTGTTCACAAATACGGTACTATTCACAAGTACGGTACTATTCACGAATATGGTTACTGTTCGTAAATACAGTTACTATTTACGTGAAATAGTAAGAAGTTATTGTTCGTGGTATAAGCAATGACGGTAAAGTTTAAGATCGAGAAATTCGACAAGAGTAATTTCTCACTGATGATAAGAAGTTATTGTTCGTGAAATAGTAAGAAGTTATTGTTCGTGGAAGTTGAAGATAAAAGCTATCTTGAGAAAAAATAATTGCCTGACGGCCATCAGTGCAAGGCCGGACGACATCACAGATGATAAGAAGTGGAACGAGATGGACGAAAATGCTATTGCAAATCTCCATCTGACATTAGCAGACGGGGTGCTGTCAAGCATAGAGGAGAAGAAGACAGCAAAGGAGATCTGGGATACTCTAACAAAGCTATATGAGACGAAATCCATACATAATAAAATCTTCTTAAAAAGGAGACTTTACACTCATAGGATGACGGAATCTACATCGATGACCGACCACATCAACACCCTAAACACACTGTTCTCCCAACTCACAACGTTAGGGTATACAGTTGGTGCGAATGAACGTGCAGAAATTCTACTTCAGAGTCTACCTGACTCGTATGATCAACTCATCACCAACTTGACAAACAACGTCCTCACGGACTATCTAGTTTTCGACGATGTTGCAGTCGCTGTTCTGGAGGAAGAAAATCGGCGCAAGAACAAGAAAGACAGGCATTCAAGTTCGCAGCAAGCGGAGGTCTTGTCGGTGACGAGAGGAAGATCAACAGAACGTGGCTCCAGTGGGAGTCATGCCCATGATAGATCGAAATCACAAAGTAAGAAGAATATCAAATGCTACAATTATGGCAAAAGAGGGCACGTCAAATCGGACTGTTGGCACAACAAGAAAAGTGGAGATAAAAAGACTTCAGAGCCATCAACATCTTAAGGATGCGTTGTCAGCACGTCAGATGATGGTGAAATTCTATTCAGTGGAGCAACCACTGTTGATGAAGGCAGAAAGAAGTTTACTGATGTCTGGCTTCTACATTCTGCAGCCTCTTGGCACATGACCTCTCGGAGAGAATGGTTTCACAAATATGAACCTATCTCAGGAGGATCTATATTCATGGGGAATGATCATGCCTTGGAGATTTCTGGTATTGGCACTATCAAAATCAAAATGTTTGATGGTACAATACGCACCATTCAAGATGTGCAACATGTGAATGGCTTGAAGAAGAATCTATTGTCTTTGGGACAATTAGATGAGCTTGGGTGCAAGACCCATATCGAAAATGGGATCATAAAGATTGTTAGATGGGTGCTTGTGGTGATAAAAGGAGAAATGATAGCTGCAAATCTGTACATGCTCAAGGGAGAAACCATGCAGGAAGCTGATTCATGTGTGACATCAACCAGCCGTGGAGAAGAACAAATCATGATGTGGCATCGCAAACTAGGCCACATGTCAGAACGAGGCTTGAATATTCTTTCTGATCAGAAGCTGCTTCCTAGACTTAATTCGGTAGCTCTTCCATTCTGCGAGCATTGTGTTACAAGTAAGCAGCATCGACTGAAATTCAACACATCGAGTTCTAGAAGCAAGGCTATTCTGAAATTGGTTCATTCTGATGTATGTCAAGCACCAGTTACATCCTTAGGAGGAGCAAAGTACTTTGTGTCCTTTATTGATGATTACTCCAGGAGATGTTGGGTGTATCCTATCAAGAAAAAGGCAGATGCGTTCTCAATCTTTAAAACCTACAAATCGCGGGTCGAGCTTGAATTTGAGAAGAAGATCAAGTGCTTGAGATCAGATAATGGAGGAAAATACACAGACGGTGAATTCCTAGCATTCTGCAAGCATGAAGGTATCAAAAGACAATTCAGTACGGCTTATACTCTTCAACAAAATGGAGTAGCGGAGCGGATGAACAGAACTCTGTTAGAAAGAATAAGAACTATGTTGGCAACTGTAAATCTGGATAAAGTCTTTTGGGCGGAAGCAATAAAAACCGTCTGTTATGTGGTGAATCGATCTCCACCAATCGCAATACAGTTGAAGACGCCGATGGAGATGTGGACTGGCAAGCCAACTGATTATTCCAACCTCCATATATTTGGAAGTCCAGTGTATGTAATGTATAATGTCCAAGAAATTACAAAGCTTGATTCAAAATCCAAAAAATACATATTCTTGGGGTATGCTGATGGAGTAAAGGGGTATCGCCTGTGGGATCCCACTACCCATAAGGTTATCATCAGCAGAGATGTTATCTTTATAGAAAATCAACTACAAAATGGTGAAAAAGAAAGCAGTTCGAGGAAGGACTCAGAGACTATAGCTGTTCAGGTAGAAGATTATCCGAATTTTTCTGAAGCAACACCGGAGCATGATGTACAAGAACCAGTCCAATCCGAGGCTCCAGAAGCTCGAAGGTCAACTCGTGAGAGAAGGCCACCGACTTGGCACTCGGAGTATATTACGGAGAGTAATGTTGCATACTGTCTTCTAACAGAGGATGGAGAGCCATCAACTTTTCATGAAGCTATAAATGACACAGATGCATCTTTGTGGATGACAGCAATGCAGAAAGAAATTGAAGCTCTCCATAAGAACAAGACTTGGGAACTTGTGTCACTGCCATAAGGAAGAAAGACCATTGGAAACAAATGGGTCTACAAGATCAAGCGAAATGGCGATGATCAAGTGGAGCGATATCGTGCTAGATTGGTGGTAAAAGGATATGCTCAGAAAGAATGTATTGATTTTAATGAAATATTCTCTCATGTACGACTTACAACAGTCCGAATTGTCCTGGCTATGAGCGTTATATTTGACTTACATTTAGAGCAGCTAGATGTGAAAATAACATTTCTTCATGAAGATCTTGAAGAAGAAATTTACATGCTCCAACCAGAAGGTTTTGAAAAAAAAGAAAAAGAGAACTTGGTTTGCAGATTGAACAAATCTCTGTACGGTCTAAAACAGGTGCCGAGGTGTTGGTATAAGAGATTTGATTCATTCATCATAAGCATTGGATACAACAGACTTAATTCAGACCCTTGTGCATATTTCAAGAGGTTTGGTGAAAATAACTTTGTTATCTTATTGTTGTATGTTGACGACATGTTGGTTGTAGGCCCCAACAAAGATCGTATCAAAGAATTAAAGGCTCAGTTGGCTAGGGAATTTGAAATGAAGGATTTAGGATCTACAAACAAGATTCTAGGGATGCAACTTTATCGAGACAGAGTTAATAGAAAGATTTGGCTTTCTCAGAAGAATTACTTGAACAAAATCTTGCGATGTTTTAACATGTAAGATTGTAAGTCAATTTCTACCTCACTTCCTGTTAATTTCAAGTTATCCTCCAGTATGAGTCCTAGCAGTAAAGAAGAGAGGATGGAGATGTCTCGAGTACCATAGGGAACCTCAAATGTTGCATTATGTTATGGGGGATCTGATTTTATTGTCAGTGGATATGTTGATTCTGATTATGCAGGTGATCGTGATAATAGCAAATCCACCACAGGTTATGTGTTTGCACTTGCTGGCGGAGCTGTAAGCTGGGTTTCAAAACTGCAGTCAGTTGTGGCTACTTCAACAACAGAAGCAGAGTATGTAGCAGCTACACAAGCTAGTAAAGAAGCGATGTGGTTGAAGATGGTGCTGGAGGAACTCGGCTATGAACAAAAAAAGATTTTTCTATTTTGTGACAGTCAGAATGCTTTGCATTTGGCAAGAAATCCAGCCTTTCATTCAAAGACCAAGCACATTCGAGTTCAGTATCACTTCGTTCGTGAGAAAGTGGAAGAAGGAACAGTGGATATGCAGAAAATTCACACCAAAGATAACCTAGCAGATTTTTTGACAAAAGCAATCAATACTGATAAATTCATTTGGTGTAGATCCTCCTGTGGTCTGTCAGAGACGTAAGCAACATGAAGATGGCAAGATAGAAAGAATAGTGTGAAGATATGATTGATACTCAATCAAATCTTTAAGTGGGAGATTGTCAGGCGCCTAACAATAATAAAAGCCACCAATCAATCAGCCGAAAGCAGCAGCTGTTTTTTGACTTTGGATAAAGGAGCGGGCCCCACATTATTATTATAATATAAATGCATAGTAATTTATTATTATTTTATTATGCATAGTGTTTTTCAAAATCCTATAAATAGGCTCCAAATTCTTAAGGAAATCTCATCCCAGAAACAACTTCTTATATAGAAGAGTGAGAGAGAAAAAATAGAGAGAGTTTCTCCTTGTAAAGAGAGAGAGTTTGTAACTCCAGAGTTTTTCTCCTTATAGTGGATTCTTCTATCCTTGCTCGTGGACGTAGGCAATCAAGTGCCAAACTACGTAAATCTGTGTGTCTAACTTTTTATCTCTACTTTTGCTCTACTATTGCTGCGACCCTGCTCTATTGGGCCCTGTGTTTGTCCCAACAATTGTGATGTTCATCAGTTGTTTCACAATATAATTTCAAGTATGTGATCTGTGTTTTCTTGAAACATTTACAGGATTTTGTTGATAATAGCGCCTTAGGACTCATTTATCATTTTCAAGTCTAATGTTTACAATAGGATGAATTATAAGTGCGTTTGAAACTTTGAACAGCCATCTTGTTCCTTTTATGTTGCAACATTGATGAGTTAGTCTTATTGAACTTTAACCTACACCTTATGATGATTGAACTCTGAGCTACACTTTAATATGTTGATCCATCAAGAAAGAAAAGAATTCTCTTATAAAAAAGTCCTATATATGTAGATATCCATATTTCTTAAAATGTTCACATTTTTCTCATACTGATCTAAAATTAAGGATGGGGGAATTTGCAGGTTTACAACTATCTTGGGAATGCAAGTACAACAGTTTCTGATCCATATTCGAATATCATTTGTAGTGAATGCCAAACTGCTGCAAATGAAGAACTCTTGCTACTTTGTGATCTGTGTGACTCAGCTTCTCATACATACTGTGTTGGTCTAGGGGCCACTATACCTGAAGGTGATTGGTATTGCCGCGAATGTGCAAAGATCAGGGATGAACATGCCAGAAATCAATCAGATTCTGATGGTTGTAATCAAGATTCTTACGATATCCTTAGGGCAATCCGAGCACCTCGAACGCCTCTTGAATTATCTCAAATCCCATCCCAAGCATCTCAAATTCCAATCCGGCCATCTCAAACGTCAGCCGAATCATCTCATACACCATCCCAAGCATCTCAAATGCAGGCCCAATCTTCTCAACTTCCAGCCCGATCACCTCAAAGACCTGTCCAATCATCTCAAACGCCAATTTCAATCTTTGAGATTGTTGCAGATGCTGTAGTTTCTAATTCATCACAAGGATTCACCAGTGAAGTAGTCGTTGAACATCAGACAACTCAAAGGGCCTCAAGAGGTGAGCAACATGTGAGGACTTTGCGACAGTGTCGCAATTTGCAAGTTCACATACGGAAGATACGTGAAAACTGGAATGCTTTTCGATCTGGTTCATTAACTTTCTCTCTCAGTTTTAGTAATAACAGCAGCAGGGATCATAACAGTAGGAGGAAGAATAGAGTAAATATTGGTATGTCCAGTGAACCAGATTCCATTTCTTCTGTCGGTAAAGAGCATTCTGTAGATGTTAGTTCCTCTAGCAATGTCAGCCATAACACAGGGTTCAAAGATGTCAGTAAAGCATGGAAGATGATGGAAATTGCAAAGTCAATGGAAGGAACTGGAAAGAGAACTGTGCTAAACCATTCATCTCCCGTATGTGCTAAAAGAAACAGCATTTCAAAGGATACTATAAATCATAACACTAGCTCCTTTGTCTCCAAACATCCTAATGGATTGAATGGCTGTACTGCTTTGTTTGTAGACAAGCAACATAAATGCCTAGGTCATCAGAAATCATGTATAGAGAAAGAGATGGGAATAATGGAGCATTTCAATGGATGGGCGATAGGAGTTACTCAAGACAGTAAGGAATCTTCTCATCATAAAATTAGCAGAGTTTCATCTCAAGAGGGTCCAAGTTGTCAAAAGAAACCAACCCCACTGCAGAATGTGCTTAATTGTCCAAGTTCTGCCTCTTGTGCACCTTCCGTGCAGTCTAGCCTACCAACTAACAACCCTGTCAGCGTAGTTAATTCCCACGACAAGAAACGCAGTGAAGTCAGGTCTGCTGATAAAAATTATATTAGAAGAGACAATATGAAGTGCAGTGCCAAGGTTGAGATTCAATATTTGGTCAAGCTCAATCTCAAGTTACAGAGTAAAGATTATCGATTAGGTAAGCTCTTCTGTTATTTTTACTTTTGATAACGTAGAGTCCATGAAAAAAACTACTTTCATTAAGTTTTAAATGCTTTACATATTATCATATCCTATAACATAAATTTGTTTTGTCTGATTTTACTGGTGGTCTGCATGCATATTCCAGACTGTAAATTTATAGATGGTAATGTTACTGTAACAGGATTCCATTCATGGACCCAACTTTATGTTCTAATCCATGACATTGTATACATATAATTCCATCAACCAATACTATTATTTATTGCAACAACTATCTGATTCATCAACGGGTATATTTCATGATAGCCATCTATCTGACTATTATCTTTGCCTGGAACTAAACACAACGGAGAAAACCTTAAGCCCGTTTTGAGCAAAGAATGTCCTTATCTGATTCTGGTGTCCTGGCATTGGCTTAAAACTTAATTTTTGGATGGGATCGTGATGTCAAAATGCAAGATGCACCTTGAATAGACATGCAATAATCACTTTGGTTATGTTGATGTGGAATTTCACGCTTTGCCAATTAAATGCCAAAGGGAAACTAATGTTGATATTTAGCCAGTAATTCAAGATTTTTAATTTAATGGATAGCTTATTTAGCCAGTAATTCAAGATTTTTAATTTAATGGATAGCTTGTTTTTCCTGTTGTTTCGCAATGCGTATTCAATTTCGTGCCTTTATTATAACAATTTAGTGATAAGAATTAAATTGCAGCATGGTTGTTTATGCTATATTTTTTCTATCATTAACTTCCTGTAAAAATTTTCCCCTAAGTTACAAGACTGAAGAGTGTTGTTCCTTCCTGCAGATGCAGAAACATTCAAGGAAGTCGCTAGAGTCGCTACACACACTATATTGGCAGCATGTGGTTTGGAACACTCAAAGTCCAGCGCGAAAATAATATCTATGCCAAAATGCAAGCATACGGAACAGTTAAGAGAGCTTCGTAAGTGTAAATTGATGCCTGATTCTTGCAGAGAATGCTTTTATTCCTATGTAAAAGATGTTGTGAGCTCTATCTTCTTAGAAAAGATAGGGTCAAAAAAACGTCCCTGTTAGTCTTCATACATCTCTGTTGTAGCAATTATTTTCTACTCTCCACAGGGCTAAAAAAAGAGAACTGTAGTGGTAACTATGACAATGATTATAGGACTGTTATCAGTCGTCACACTGTGTTATTAGTGTAACTATTGGAATCTAGTTCATCTGTGTCTGCAACTAGGGCCCCAAATAAAAACATGAGCTGAGGGACTAGGGGTTCTAAATCGTATCCGTATCTGAGAAAATATCCGTAAGTGTATCCGTTAGGATACGGATATGTTTACTCAAATCTATAACTGATACGATATGGTTACGGATATGGTTTTGTACTGCAATATCCGTATCCGAAATATCTGGATACATATTAGTCATATCTAATCTTAAATTGTGGATTTAAGATCCGAAATATCCGGATATGATAGTTTCGATTCTTAAATTGTGGATTTGTGGTTAATTTTGATAACTAATATATATAATCTTAGCTTTTCAATTATAATGAACATATTAACGAACTTTTTTGTATCATATGAACTATGTTTTTCTCAATACTATCTAGTTTTCTCATACTTGTTTTGTATCTGTATGCATATCCTCTTATATATCTGCATGTCTATCCATAACCATATCCGATTTTAGTGAATATGAATATAAATTTTTCTTACCGAGGTATATCTGTATCCGTATCCGAGATGAGTAAGCAGATATGGATTTGGTAAGCATCATATCCGAGCCATATCCGGAGGGAATGCACCTCTATGATGGACTCTTAAAGAACATCTTAAGTTTAGCCTCCTAGTATGAACCCGGGAGCTCGTGGATGGACTAGATAAAAGTTTATTTATAGGTTTAGGGCCTGTTTGTTTCACAAACCCCAAAGAGTGCAAAATAATTTCCTGACCACAACCTGCTTCCAAGGGTTTTTTCAGTTTCCATGAAACAGGCGTACTGTGTTTGGTTCACAATGAAAATGAGTGCAAGAAGCTTATTTCACTTATTTCTGCTGTTTGTTTCAGCAACTTGAAATGGGAAACTAAGGCTTCATTTTGGTACCATGGTGTTTTCTTTGTTGTGTTTTTGTAAAAAAACACCACGGTGTTGTGTTTTTCCCTTAAAACGTTTTCAAAACACCATGTTAAGTATTTTTGATCAACACTAGTTTGACCCATTATAACGTTAGTATTAAATATATTATTAATATATTATATATCAATTATATTAAAATATATTATAAATAAAATGTTATAGTAGTTAGTCTACAATATTATAGTATTATAAGTATTAAATATAATGCAATATAAAACTATATAATGTATTATAATATTATATTGTACTTAATGAGTTATATTAGATTATAATTATTACATATTATTTATATAATGTATTATAATATTATATTGTACTTAATGAGTTATATTAGATTATAATTATTACATATTATTTTCAAATAATTATATATTTAATTATTTTCGTATATCAATTTGTTACTGTTATATATTATATTAATATTTTTATAATAATGTTATTTTATTATTAATATAATATTATATTAATATAGTATAATATTATACTATTATTCATATAATATAATATTATTAACAATGTTAATATTATTTTATTACTAGTATGTTATTAATAAATTATAATTATATTAATATTATGTAATATATTATGGTCTTTAATATGTTAGAGTTTATTAATAGTAATTTAATAATATATTAATACTTTATAATATAAATAAATATTATTATATTATGTATTTAGAAATAAATTATTTTATTTATTATATAATATATTAATAATTTATATATTATATTATATTTACTATACAATATATTATTATAATATTATTATTATATTACTATTTTATTTTTAAATATTTTACTATTATATAATAATTTATAATTATTAATTTATTACAGTTTATTTATTTAAAAGTTAATAATATTATAGCGATTATACTATTGTGTAGTATATTATTATATCATTATTTATCATCAATAATTTTATTATTATTATTTTTAGTTTATTTATATTTTATTATTATTTATTATTATACAATACATTGTTAATATATTAAATACTAGTATTTAATATGTTATTATATTGTTATATAAGATATTTTATTTATTATATTTTTATATTATTTAATAAGTATTACTAATATATTAGATTAACTATAATATAGTAAAGTATAGTATAGTATAGTATAATATAGTATTACATTTAATATATTATGTTAGATATTATATTAACACCTTCTCAAACTCAAAATCAAAACACTAAACTTAAAACACCTTTTAGGTGTTTTGAAATAAGTGTTGTGTTTTTGGTTTGAGGATGATTTAGCTCAAAAAACACCATGGTTTCAAACGCATGGTGTTTTTTTTTGGTAAAAACACTATGGAAATAAGTAAAACACAATGGTATCCAAACGGAGCGTAACATATTGTAGGCTTGTTTCCTTGATTTCTTCAGTCTGATTGAGAGAATTCCACAACTGAATATTTAAATCAAATCACCATGATGAGCACACAGTTCAAATAAGACAAAGAAAATATTTAGGGGCTATTTGGTTCATTTCCGAAAAACCAAAGTTTGGGAGATTACTCATGGGAAATAGGCTGTGAGATCCATTTTCATGTTTTTAAGCCCATTTCATAACTTTTTAGGATGAAATGAGTTTTCTTTAATTTGGAACCCATAGTACCTATTATCTTACTAGCGGGTGGGTCTCATATGCACAACATTTCTTTTCTCTCTCAACCAAACACAAGAAAGGAAAATCTAACACCTCCACATGAGTGTGTCGGATGTTTTGATTTCCTTTTCTCAATTTCTCAGCTAACCAGACAGCCTCTTAGCAGCAAAAAAGCATGCACTCTGCTTGTTGCAATATATTTGAGCTCCAATAGGCAAAATTCATGCCAACAACTAGTTGGATAGGAGCTGCTATAAAAGTGTGAATCAAGCACAGCATCAAACCGCCAATATTATATAATCTCCGCTAATATATCAACAACAAATATCCATCAAAATGCTTACGAATAAAAAGCATATGAATGAAGTAGCTGAAATATGGCGCTAGTTGCAAACTTCCAACCTCACTGAAAATATGTAGACGGTAAAAACAGAGGGAGTGCATTTTGAGATTGTGCTTCATATCCAAATAGGCATCATAAATTCTTTGCCTGGGCAGTCGAAAATATTGATAAAAAGATAAATATTTCAAATATGGATGAAAGCTTCAATCAAGATAAGAATGTGAACAAAATGAAAGAGTTGAATTGCTAATTTGAAGGATGCAAATCATGAGGTTATCAAAATGGAAAATGATATTGGAAAATAAAAAATCTATTGGGTTTGAAACAAAACGAGATATGCTGAGAAATCGAAATCCATAAAATAGACAAGAACGATATGAAAACACATACGAGATATTGAGAAAGTCAAGCAATGACTGACATCAGCATGGGTAGCTATAAATAACATCTGCAATTCTTCTGGAAGGCTCATGGTAACGTCATTTATTCATTGATTACCTCCAATACCTATTTTTATTTAAAAAAAAATGTAGATTGCCATCTCATGTGTTGGCCATCATCGCAGCCTCATATTTATAGCTGTAGGCACCAAATAAATTGATCCTCATGAATAACAAATGAAGACCATAATTGCGCAGTCCAATTTCGACAGTGTGTATAGATGATATCAATTTTTTACTTGCGTCAATGGCTCAAAAGTAGCAAGTATCAAAACTAGAAGCAAGCCACATGCAAAACCAGAAACTTACAGCATTTTGTCAACCACCAGCATGACCACAATCAAAACCAGTACACGCGAGGCTTATTAATTACCATTGTTTCAACAACCAACCACCAAGTTAGCTACGTCTGAAGGGGAACTATAAAACAATCATCACGAAATATTGAAAAACTGACAATAAGAGATAGATATACTGAGCAAAGCAATTTCATAAAGCTCATTTACCAAATCAAGATTGAAGTTGATATTATGAACAACCATGAAAGAAGGAAATCCAATTTGGTTAGACCATTTGAGATATGTAGGGCATAAGTGAGGGCTCAAATATTTAGTCAATATCATTATTGATAACCATCCAGTGCAATGACAAAAGTATTGTAGATTGCAAATTTAGTTATTTTGACAAACATCGTCGCCCACTCGTAGGGTATGTTTGGATTAAGGACGTTTTTAATCCTAGGATTAATTTAATTCGCTATAGTCCGGGTACATAATAGTCCAGTGGACTTTAGTGAGTTAAAAGTTTAATCATATGTTTGGTTTAATTTGTTATTAACGCCTCTAATACATATGTCATGTTTGGGAACTCGTCCTTATGAGGGGTTATAAGATTAGAACATAATAGTAAATGTCCATAATGCCTTCTACGTATCAGGAAAGCATTTCAGGAGTTTCTTGTAATTTTTAGATTTTTAGGGAATTGTTTGTTATTTTCATATTTCTAGAGGAGATGTTTACAATTTTCATTTAAATTTTTTTTTTTGTAATTTTCAAAACTCTAAAGGCGTTGTTTGTAATTTTTGAAGTTCTTAGGGTTTGTTTGTAACTTTAAATTTTGGGGGATTGTTTGTAATTTTTAAATTTTTCAAGGGGTTATTTGTAATATTTAAATTTTTCAAAGGGTTGCTTGTTATCTTTTTAATTTTTAAGTGTTTTTTAAATTTACAGATTTTTTGAAGGGTTGGTACAATTCAGTTTTTTCAAGGGCTTTTGTAATTTTTTTCTTCAGGGGCAATTTTGTAATTTTTAAATATTTATGCTTTGGCAAAATACATTTCCAAGGTTCAGGGGATTAAAAAAAATTTAAATTT